AATGAGCAGATCCCGGAAGCCAGATGTGGGTTTCCTTCGATTCCAGTTCTCTCCTTTCACTGACTGCAAAGCAGACGCCATCTCACATCTGGATGGATGGAACGGGGCCTTTTAGACTTGACTCCGGTCTTACTGGCTCCTTTGAGTCCTCGTGCCCTCGAGGGTCTTTTGCTTCGCAGTCACATCTCAAATTTTCCAGTGCCAACATGACTTTTTCACACTGTTTGCAGACCACAGCTCAGCCTCTTCTGGCCTCTAGTCAAAGCAGCCCCATTTCCCTTCCTGGCACTCATTACACAATCCCATGTGGGACTGTCATGTCAATCAATCCTGTGGGTCAGATGGACTATGTCCACTTTGAGAGCTTCTCTTGCCTGTGGGAGCAGACAACTCCAGTTTGCTGATTTGGTGGAGGTCCCTTTGCCTGCTGAGTGAGGCCTGCTGCAGTGAAATTCGGGTTCTGCACCCCCAGTCTCTTAGGGTTTTTTTTGGGGGGGTCCGGTCATGGGGCTTGAACTCTGGGCCTGGGCGCTGTCCCTCAGCTCTTCAGCCCAAGGCTAGCGCTCTACCACTTGAGCCACAGCGCCACCTCTGACTTTTTCCCCCCTGCTTATGTGGTGCTGAGGAATCGAACCCAGGGCCTCAGGCATGCAAGGCAAGTGCTCTACCACTGAGCCACCTTCCCAGCCCCTTAGGTTAAGTTTTATGTGTTATAATTCACGGGCCTTGTGCAGGCTGCCTACCTATGTTGTGGGGCCAGAGTTGACTGAAGCAGCTAGCCAATCAGCTCATGGGCTTTGAGTCCTCAGGAAATAGCTGGGTCTCTGGGTTTGCCTGAAGAATCTCCAGACAGAACTCAGCTTAGCTGACAACTTCTTCATACTTCCCAGGGGACCAAATGTTCCTCAGGAATGATGGGCATCAAGGTAAAGGGTGGGATTTTTTTTGGGTGGCGTCAATCATGGGCTTGAACGCTGGGCCTGGGTGCTGTCCCTGAGCTCTTCAGCTCAAGGCTAGTGCTTCACCACTTGAGCCACAGTGCCACTTTCTGGTGGATTTATTGGAGATAAAAGTCTCATGGAGGGCTGGGAAGGTGGCTCAGTGGTAGAGCGCTTGCCTTGCATGCCTGAGGTCCTGGGTTCGATTCCTCAGCACCACATAAGCAAAAAGAAAAAAGCCAGAAGTGGCACTGTGGTTCAAGTGGTAGAGCGCTAGCCTTGAGCTGAAGAGCTGAGGGACAGCGCCCAGGCCCAGAGTTCAGGCCCCACAACCGGACCCCCCCAAAAAAAAGGTCTCATGGACTTTTTCTGCCCAGGCTGGCTTTGAAGCATGATCCTCAGATCTCAGCCTCCTGAGTAGTTGGGATTACAGGAGTGAGCCACCAATGCCTGGCAAAGGGTGGGATTTCTGGCTTCTCCTTAGGTAATCTGTTAACCAGGCTATTTTTCAGCTGCTCACACGTAAAGGATGAATAATGAAAGAATGTGTGTTAGAGCTCTGTGTCACCACATGCATAGAGGACTGAAACTCATGTTTGGTGCCCTTTCAAGTGTTGTGTAGCCTGTCATCTTTTCCAATTCTCTACAAAGAGCTAAAAGTGTCTGAGATAGTTCAAATAAGTGGACAATAGGAAGTGCCCCAAGTGTTTTTTCCTTTTTTTAATTTTTTATTGTGAAAATACTGTACAGAGGGGTTACAATTACATGGGCAAGACAAGGAGTACATTTCTTATCAAGCATTGTAGCCTCCTCCTTTGTTTCCCCTTCCCATCCCTTCCCATCCCCACCCTCCACCCTCCACCCAATCCTCCCCGAAATATATATAGATATATATTTTTTGGACCCAGCCGTGGGCCTGAACTCTGGGCCTGGGCGCTGTCCCTCAGCTCTTCAGCTCAAGGCTAGCGCTCTACCACTTGAGCCACAGCACCACTTCCGGCTTTTTTTTCTGCTTACGTGGTTGGTGCTGAGGAATCGAACCCAGGGCCTCAAGCATGCAAGGCAAGCGCTCTGCCACCGACCCACCTTCCCAGCCCTTGGGATGTCCTTAAAAACTGTGCAGGCCCCTCTCTCCTGGGTCCCCCATTTATTACCAGCCTGTGCTAAGTGCTTAGGATTCAGAAGAACCTCCTGTAACTACTGGGAGACACTGATTGGAAAAGAAGCTGGAACAAGCAGGGATAAAGAGAGGGGGTAGTAAGAACTCTCAGGCACTGGTCTTGAGCAAAGGACACTCATTGCAGGTTTTATGGTGGGCTTGTAAGTGGCAAGTTAAAAGATGCTTTTGCTTGGGCTGAGAATTTGGCTTAGTGATAGAGTGCTTCCTAGCCTGTATGAAGCCCTGGATTTGATTCCTCAGTACCACATACACAGAAAAAGCTGGAAGTGGCAGTGGTGCGGTGGCTCAAGTGGTAAGTGTGCTGGCCTTGAGCGAAAGAAGCTCAGGGACAGTGCCCAGGCCTTGAGTTCAAGCCCCTGGACTGGAGAGACAGAGAAAGAGAGAGAGAGAACGAGAGAGGAGAGAGAGATGGTTTTGCTGGGCCATGTGAATTACCCCCCCCCCCATTTTGTATCTGTGCCCTTTGGTCTGAGTCAGTCACCTTGGGCTACAGGATAGAGAAGATTCACAGACAAATACCTTGTGTGGAAGGTACTTGTCTCCAACAGGCTTTCACATCTCAAGAGGCCATTCCCCAGATAACTTGCTCCAGAACATCCACACAACTCCCCCAGAGACAGAGGCTGAATTCATGGCCTAGGAGCCACACCTTACTTGGTACTGCTTCCTGTCGTGGTTTACCTTTCTCCCCAGATTTAACCTAGCCAGGGCCCTGCCCCGAGGGGCCGCAGGAGGCGCTCGGGCTCGAGCTGCTCTCCACGCCCGCCTCCCGCAGGGTGCGGGCCTCTGCCTGGGCCCAGCCTGGCCTCTGCACTTTGGGGGGGTGTGCGGGCCTCTGCACTTTGGGGGGGGGTG